ACAAAACATCAACCTTCGAAGGCAACAAAAAAAAAAAAAGCACATCCAGCCCACTCACGCGTCCATGAAGAGTCTAGTTGGAGCAGGAATATGTTCAACCAGGACTGCGGACAAATCCCGTGCATTCTGCAAACAGACGCTTTGAGCATGTTGTACGTTAGCGCTCTGTACAATATTCAGCCCTGCCATTCGTAGCCCCAGGACCTTGTATACATGTCATAACTGTCAATAGAGGCGTGGGTGATACGAGGAATCCTACTGCTTAATAGTCTGTACAAATTTCTTCGGTCCCCTGCGCACCGACAGCAGTAGTGCCCAAGCCATTCCACGAGCCCACTGGGCAAGGCAAGACAACAAACCCCTCTCGTGCAAACCTTGGCTCTCAGGTCCGAAAAGTCTGAAACGTCTGAAACGCCTAATCATAGCCCCTCGCTGCGTTCCAAAGTCACGCTATGTCCGACGCCAGCGGCCCAGTGAAGTGGTTGCTCGCCCAGCTTGCCCGTCGCGGAAATGTTGGCGTTGTGATGCTGGCAGGGCAGAGCACAATCTCTTGTTTTGTCCCTCTGTCTGGGCACATAACACACCCCAATTAGTACCACTAGTACGATCGATTCTGCTGAGTCCGGACCTCCACTAAGAACGCTACCGTCTGCACATCGCTTTCCAAAGCCGCATAATGCAACGGCTGTATACCTGAAGCAAGGAGACACCAGTGCTACTGCGCATGCTCTTTTGTGACGTCATGCGTGCAGAAAAGGAACCACCGTCGTCCCTGGCATCGACTGTGGCCCGCTTGCTTAGCAGATACCTCAAAATCAACAGCCGCACAAAGTGATCACACCCAGATCACACTCAGGTCGCACTTGATGCACCGTGCCAGTCTGACGTTCTTGGAGCGAAGCTCGAGGACAGGCTGATGTCCAGAGAGAGCAGCCCAGTGAATGGCGTGGGCTTTGCCACCATCCTGGCGTAGTTAGCAACAGACTGGACGGCTTTGGGCCTCCCGTCTACATTGCTTAGCACTCAGGATCAAGAACTGGAGGGAGAACTCGGACATTGAACCGGCCAGCGCAACAGTATTTCCGTGCGGGCAAAATGTGTTTGGGCAAGCGCAAAGTCCATCTCAAGATGATTACACATCCTACTGTACAAGCCATGGGTAACACTGAAGAGATCACATGAGCCGAACAAGGGGCGACTTCAAACATACCGTCTGCGCAGATGCCGCTGCTGCTGCAGCTGCTGCTGCTGCCGCTGCTGCTCCTGCTACTGGTGTCATAATTTTTAGAAAAGCTTCAACTTCTACACCAACGTCTGCCACCCACTTGCTGCTGCCGTGCAACTGCAGCGCAGCCGGCTTCCAGAAGCAGCGGGGAGATAAAACACAACGTACGGAATATGCGGATACGCTTGACGTTGCGGCAAATTGCGGCACTGCTGTGGAGCCGGTCCTTGCGCTTGGTTGGTGTGCCCACCGCTGCCAAGAATTCGAGCAAGGGAAGGTCCCCACGCTCTGCTGCCATTGCTGCCGCATTCTTGCCTGCCAACAGTGGTTGCCTCATGCTGCAAACCGATACCATTTCTTTACCATTGCCCAACTATGGCCTTGCCTTCTCGGTCGGTCAGCTGCAGGCTGCTCCCACAGGCAACCAGCAAAGCTACACACGCAAGATGACCTCGAGCCACAGCCCGATGCAATGGTGTAAGGCCTTCATCATCTAAGCCATCCAGATTGACCCCATCCTTGGCAGTTTTCTCCCAAACTTTAAAGCACAACGGCTGAGGGACAGCTGTGTCCTGCCTCAATGAGACTTTGCAGACCACTGCGGTTGTTGCGGTGTGCTGCAACGTGAACAGGAGATGCCCAACGCTGCGAACTGCCCTGTGCAGCGATAGAAGATGACGGGACGTTCTCAGCTCTCAACCCTGATCAGTCATGCATTTTGCACATGAGGCCTGCGCTCCGAATCCCAACACGAAAGGCGCAAGATTGCAGGTTGCCTCGGCTTGCAACAACAATGGCGCGTGCACGTGCAGCTTGAACGGCACGAGTCAGTCAAAAAGCAGCTGCCTGCAGTTTGGGTTGAACCAGCGCAGCACTCACACATCAACTATCAAAATATTCTTGTTGCGAGGATGTGTAGGCGGGAAGGCTGAGTGGATCAGTCACACAAAAGTGCTCCGTGCCATGCCTGGCTTAAGTGCTTGTAAACGATTCTGAATTGAAGACTGCCATGCAATCAGCGCACCCATTGCTCTACATGTGCTCATGGCGCAACATGTTCATCTCTCTAAGGCACATGGGGGAATCGATCGCCAAAGTACATCGCCTGAAATTATGAGGGCGTTTTGGCTGCAAATGCAGTGGCAACTCTCTTTCACCCTCCTTTCCCGCACGAAACCGACGCGCGCCTCACCAGGGTGTTGTATGCATAGCCAAGGCTCCTGAAATGATGGGCTGCTACCATTGCAGCTTGCGCCATGTACAGTCGGATGAAATCCAAGCAATCCTTGCCCAATTGGGTCACTTTCTGTGCTGGACGTCCTGTCACATTGCTGCTGCATCACCTGCTGCCACAGGCAGTCTCCGAAGACTTCTTGTCCTTGTGCACCAGCTAGTGCGGCGCATGGATCTGCTCCCAGCATGACGTCCAAGTCAGAGCCTCAGAGCAGAGCTGTTGGGCTTCCACACAGGCTTTGCAGCTGTGCAACGCTCGACTGGCCTGGCTTTGCTAGCCACCACGCTTTGAGGCCTGCGAGTAGGAGCTGCCATGTCTCAGCATGACTGTGTGCCCGCGTAGAGGAGGCCTGATCGCATGCTGTCAACCATTTGCCATTTCACAGTTTGAACAAGATACCGCCTGCGTCCCGATCGACAAGATTGGTCGCGCATCAAAGCCGTGGAGAGGAGGCGGCTCCACTGCGGCGCCAAGGCTGTCCCAAACATCACCTGCTTCAAGTTGTCAACTCAACGGGCAACAAACGAATCTCCACGAGAGCTTCGCTGACATGCATGACAAAGGATCGTTCTCTGTACGCGGAGCTTCCCTCCTACTCCTCCTCCTCGTCTCCACGCCCAACTTTACGATTTCTGAATTTCCCGACGCAGGCTGCAGCAGGTTTTCTACCTTTTTCAGGCAACCCTGCTGCACACCCTTGACGTACAGCAGGATGCTTTAGCTGAGCAAGTCCATGTGCAGCTGGAAAGCTGTCACGACACTTGCACTCCCTTCTTTATGCTATCCACCCGACTAAGTCGTACATGTCACCCATGTTATGCGATTCCTGCAGTTCCTCTGACAGCTTCATCTCCGTCATTCAATTTTGCGCGCTTGATGTGACTCAGTATCAAGTTTGCCAGATCATCTGAGTGCTCATGAGAACTCCTTTTGAAATCCAATTCGACAGATGTTTTGGTGAAGTCTTCTTGGTTTTGGTCTTGTGCTATGCACTGAGTGGCATCGCCTTACTCAGAATTCATGATCTGCTTGAACTGAAGCAGGCACACTTAATACTACCCAATAGGATTGAGTGACGGGGGTCGATCACTTTGGTTTTTGGGGGAGTCCCAGCTGCCCATGGCAGTGCTTTTCAACATCCGTAATAGGCGTTTGCTCTTTGTGTGCATGCATAATAGCCTGGCAGTGCTCAGATTGGGGAACACGCATGATGTGGGCGAAGCAGACAACGTAGGCACTAGTTTTTGGAAGGCTGACAGAAGTGGCTCAGCGGGCCATTGTGGCAGGGCTAGGGCACCTGAGTTTTCATGTCGATCGTCTGCCTATCAAAATGTTTCCGGGTTAGCGCCTCCGTTAAGAACACCGTCACCGCCGTTGCGACCCCTGTTGCACCTTCAGGACCCGTTTGTCAACAGAATCGAGTCGGATGCCCGCATACGTCGCGCGAGTTTGAGACACTCATCGTCCTTGCCAGCCAGCGATTGCGGAATGCTGGTCCACGTACCCACAAAGCCCTGATCCTGACCGCGAAGCTGCGCTGGCGTTTGAGGCCACGGCCGAAGCACTACGCCCACGGAGCCCCCTGAGCTTTTTGCAAGGCAATGAGCAAGCTTGGCCCACATCAAGTTTGCGCAGTTTCGGGCCACAGCCCTGTCCACACCCATGAGGATCCGCATAATTTTGGATGGATTTCCCGGTAAACTGGCACTGAGCAACTGCAGATGCAGCTTTGCATCAAGCTTGTGGTTAAGGTATGAGGGCATTATGAGGGTCAGGACGATAGTTTCAGCTAGGCTTTGTCCCAGTCAAATCGCGCAAAAGCCTCAGGCGTGATGGGATACTGGCAGCTTGTGCTCAAAGCCAAGCGCCCTTCCTCGTCATAAAGCCTAATCTTGCCAAGCTTCGTTGCAAAGAGTATGCCATGTCGGCAAAGAAAAGATTCCATTCGGAGACATTCTGCTTGAGGTACTGCTCCAGCGTCAGCACTTCCTTTGACCGCAGATGGTCAAAGTGGCCATTGTTGGTCTTGACCCGCCGGGAGCCAAACTTTTGGACAAAGTCATCCTCATGCACAAAAGACCAAGAAGCAAAGAAAAATACAGATGGGCCTAGACCATACTGCATGCACGTGGCTTTGATCCAGAAGTCGTTCTGCCACATACCACGAAGCAGAGCCGGTCGCCCCCGCAGGGTGGTTGCGACCTGTCGCGAGGATGCGGCTGTGCTCCGACTGCAGCTCCCTGCCACTCCCTGCCGCACCGAGGTCCACTTCGCGGCATCCAGGCGGGGAAGATCGCAGAAGTGAGCTCCTCCACGAACAAGGAAATCGTGCACAGCCTGTTGCCGACCCTTAGGCACAGCATCACAGCAACTGCAGCAACGGCTTGCTAGTTACCAATCATCAACTGCTTTCACTTCGCACATAGTCGCCAAGAAACCTCCATCAGAACAGGTAACCATTCACGCTGCCGGCCCACACGAGATCATTGCTGGAGCACAACATGCGGCAGAAAAGTGATGATGGAAGCGTGCACTTACAACCATGACTTATGTTAGCCACAAACACAAGCTGTCATATGTTGCATTGATGCGCATGCTGCAAGCGGCTTTGAAAAAAAGATACCGGGGTGTCCATTCATCTTCCAGGCAATGACTTGGGCTGCTCAACCTCTTGAGGCTGCGGGCAGATGTGGGTCGAAGCGTTTTGCGCAGGCAGCACAAGCGGCCCGTCACAGCCAAGCTGACCTACGAGCAGCCTCAATGGGTGTTCCACGAGATGGCATCGGCACACACCTGGAAGATGTGCCAGTCATCCACAGATCCAACTCACTGCACTAAGGTGGTTGCAGCAAATGCGCCTCTTCCCAGGAGGCTCAGCACACAAATCGGATTCAAGTGTGGCAAGCTTAGTTGGACGAGTTCCTCCCAAACTGTAGACAGCTGCAACAACAGTCGGCATCAGAGATGGATTTGCTACCAGAATCATTCAGAAACGTGAAACTTTCTGCGACATTTGCTGCTGAATGCACGAGGAGCAGAAGCATTTTGCCGGCAAGCGCTGCGTGGCTCATCGTGGCTCTGTGCGGTGGCAGAGGCATCTGTTCCAGAGGTTCTGCCACTCAGACACGAAGGGACTTCGGGCAACTACAGGGGGATCATAGAATAAGATGAATTTAAGAAACCTTACCAAGTGCTGAGCTGATACTTGTCCAGATCTCTGCAAACAAGCTGAGGGAAGCATTGAATTCGCACGCGCCACATGACCTATCTTGTCCGGCAGCCGTCCTAGATGCTCAGTCGAATGCTGCCACAGATCTCGCAAACAGAAGACGTAAGCATGAACAACGTGCCCTGCACAGCCCACTGGCATGGAACTCATGACTACTTGGAATGTAGGGCAGGGCAGTGGTGCGGCGGCTAATGAATTGGCTGCAGACCTGCAGTTCTGCAGGCTCAGCTCATGCTTCGGGAGAGCAGCAGAAGCATCTGTGCGCCTTGAAACACAGTGAGGGCATGTAACAATGTACTGGCGCATTCCTGTTACATGTACATGCTGAGGCTCAAGCCCTCATGGGCCTGCCCGATAGCTTGTTGGGCCTCGTCCTGGACCCAAAGCCTGACACGCTGCGGTTGGGCTCCTACCTGGTGCTACCTGCTTCATTGCACTGCCGCGACATCAGTGCTTGCCGAACCAAGCCTATCTTTTTTCCCCAACAGCTTTAGCTTTGGGGTCTTCTGCCCAAATAAGTTTCGGAGCGAATCGGAGCGGCCCCTAAAAAAGGTTCCGGAGCGTGGTTCCGGAGAGGTTCCGGAGCGAGGTTCCAGAGAGGTTCCGGAGCGAGGGTTCCGGAGCAAAGTTCTGGAGAGGTTCCGGAGCGAGGTTCCGGAGAGGTTCCGGAGCGAGGTTCCGGAGAGCCGGAGCGAGGTTCTGGAGATGGAGCAAGGTTCCGGAGAGGTTCCGGAGCGAGGTTCCAAACAGGTTCCCGGAGCGAGGTTCTGGAGAGGTTCCGGAGGGAGGATCTGGAGAGGTTCCGGAGCGAGGTTCCGGAGAGGTTTTCGGTCGGACCGGAGACCGGAGCGAGGCCGGAACGCTTCCGGAGCGAGGTTCCAGAGTTCTGGAGCGAGGTTCCGGAGCGAGGTTCTGGAGAGGTTCCGGAGCAATTTTCCGGAGAGGTTCCGGAGCGAGGGTTAAGCGAGCCGGAGAGGTTCCGGAGCGAGGTTCCGGAGAGGTTCCGGAGCGAGGTTCGGAGCGGTTCCGGAGCGAGGTTCCGGAGAGGTTCCGGAGCGAGGTTCCAGAGAGGTTAGTGAAGTTCTGAAAAGGTTCCGGAGCGGTTCCAGAGAGAGGTTCCGGAAAGGTTCCCGTATTCGGAGAGGTTCCGGAGCGAGGTTCCGGAGAAGTTCCGGAGCCAGGGTCCAGAGAGGTGCTGGCGAGGTTCTGGAGAGGTTCCGAAGGTTCCGAGAGGTTATAACTTTGGAGCGAAGGTTCCAGGAGCGAGGTTTCGGAGGTTGCGGATTCCGGAAAGGTTCCGGAGCAAGCTTCCGGAGAGGAGCGAGGTTCCGGAAAGGTTCCGGAGCAAGGTTAAGGTTCCGGAGAGGTTCCGGAGTAAGGTTACGGAGAGATTCTGGGGCGGTTCCGGAGTAAGGTTCTGAAGAGATTCTGGCGAGGTTTCGGGAAGGTTCCGGGGCGAGGTTCCGGAGCAAGGTTCCGGAGCGAGGTTCCGGAGCAAGGTTGCGGAGCGAGGTTCCGGAGAGGTTCCGGAGCGAGGTTTCAAAGCGGCCCTTGGAAAAGGTTCCGGAGCGAGGTGGAGAGGTTCCGGAGAGGTTCCGGAGCGAGGTTCCAGAGAGGTTCCGGAATGGTTCCGGATTCGAAGTGGTTCCGAAGCGAAATTCCGCAGAGGCTTTGGAGAGGTTCCGGAGAGGTTCTAAAGCGAGGAGCGAGCGAGGTTCCGATAGGTTCCGAAAAGGTTTTGGAGTGAGGTTCCCTTTCGAGGTGCTGGAGAGGTTTTCCCGGCACTGGGACAAGCTGTGCCCCGGCGCCGAGAAAGCTGTTTCCCAGCGTGTCCCGGCGCTGGAAAGTTCTAGAGCGAGGTTCTGGAGAGGTTCCGGAGCAAGGTTCCGGAGGGAGTGTAGGTTTTCTCGGCGCCGGGGGAAACTGTGTGCCGGCGCCGAGAAAGCTGTTTCCCGGGGCCGGGGAAAGGTCACATTCATTCACTATCGAAGACAAATGTGTAACTTT